ACAGTCAAATGAATTCTAGACAATTTAATTCCCTAAAATTCATTTTTTCCACCCAAATTTCATCCTTACTATCAAAAGGAAATCCCAATTTGGTTTAGATAAAAATAAAATTTCTAATAAATTTTGATAAAAGTTAATGGAGTGTGTAGTCGAAAAACAGTGAGTCCATGAAATTGTGACTACATTATTTTTTTGACTTTGACTAAAATTTTAATTTTTTAGTTGAATTAAACAGGGGCTAAGTAAAGAAAATTGAATGGATTTTTTCCCCTTCAGTTTTTTTAGTAAATAATCAATTAAAATTGATTCATCACTCCACATAAATTATTACCATTTCTTCATTATCTAAAATTTAGTTTTCAAATAATGCAATTAACGAGTTACAGTTGTGTTACTGTTATCAACAACATACCGTTACATGAATTTCTTTGTGTTACATTGAAAGTTGTTTGTTGTAACCCTAAGTTGATATCAAATGTTCAGTTACACCTCTTGTGATTTGACTTTCAATTAGAGTTGTGTTAATGAATTTTTGGTCGATTAATTTCTCGCATTATGTTAGAATTTTATACGCATCATTGTAGTAATGTTACTTATAGTATTGTGTTCTAATAACACGGTTTTTGTAATTTGTTTCAAGAATACATCACAATTTGTTGTATGGTGATTGTAATTTGTGCTCAATATCGCGGCATTAACTTTCTCAAAACTAGCAGCAAAACCAGAAAGAGTTAAGGAAAAAGCTGGCGTCGGGAATGAGGATGAAGGTATGTGTGTTGTATAATTATCAAATTTATGTGGTAATTTTTACTTGTGAACATTTTGTTTTGAATTGGGAAGAAGATGTTGTGTATTGTGTGCACTATAATTTCGGCCAGTTTGAATAACTAAGGTCTCGTTCGATTGCCACATTTTTCATGAAAACGGTCACATCCGAGGAAAACGAATTTCACTTTGGTCATTTGATTGCAACGTGGAAATGAAAATCGAATTTCAAGGTATAGTCACTTTAAACTGTATTTTCATTATTTTCATGGAAAACGAATTCTTATGAATTTGGTGAGTTTTTATTTTCCAACTAACATGAAATTGGAATTCATTTTCACATTTGCCAATCAAACAGACCCTAAATGTATCTTTATGATGAATAAGTGTTTACTCGAGTCAGGTTCTATATGAGGTTACAAATAATGCTTCATCTCACGCTATACACATCCAAGAAAAAACATGCATTTGCAACTAGCTTCAGGTTGATAAATTCCGTGCGGGCATGCAGTACAAAGTATTGGGAAATTAAAAGATGACTCGTACAGGTATTGATCCATTTTATCATACAAATGAGGTGTATATTGTAGCATAACAACTCTATGTAAACCCACTTGGTGATGTGCTAGTTTTTTTTTTTTGATAAAGAACTTGTCATTAATCAAACGGATAAACCGATTACAGACGAAACAAGCTAAAAGCTTGAGACAACAGTCTGGAATACTATCCAGAAACAACGAAGTTACACCTGTGACTTATGAATACAGGAAAACCCGACTACAAGTCAACTAACGCAATCAGCACTATAGCACCCCCGCAACATTAAAGTATGTAAGAAAACGCCATGGATACCAAATTCCATGGGAAATGTAGATATTTCACCATTTTCGCTCATCACCTCCTTGGCATTCTTAAAAAAACAAACTTACAAGACTCCTATGTTTTCTACAAATGAAGAGAAAACGAAGTAGTTTAACTAAAGACATATAGATGAAATTACAAAATCAAAGTGCTATCAAATAAAAACTATAAACATTGCATTACTTTTTCAATCCCATTCTTTAAAGATTCACGAAATCTATTTACATAATATTATCGAGTAAATTAATTAACATGCTGAACTCGAGCCTCTTTCAAGTCCAAACTTGTACGTTTTGCATGGGTAACAGAAAAAATTACCGTTACTCCCAAATCCATACTTGGTGCGATAACCTGGATAATCCAAGTGACTAAATTTCACAGCCTCAATTAATCCAAGTCCATGAGAAGAAGCCAAGGAATCTAACTTCCATTCAGCGTGGAAACCATTGGTCTTGTGGGTTATATGAATTTCACCATTTTCACTGATCAACTCTTTAGCATTCCTGAGAAAAAGACTCACAAGTGTTTTGTGCATACTGCATAGGAAGAAAAATAACGTTATTTAATAGAAGATTTATACATGTAATTACAAGAGAGTCGAAAAATGATGTCATTAACCGAAAGAATTACAAGAAGTTAATTAGGGGACGGAGGGATACATTTCTTGGTGAAATGACAAACTAGTCATGATCAATTACCTTAATCCAGCCTCGCGGGATAAATTCTTAAAAAAACCAGCATATGGAAAGTTGAAAATTATACGATCAAATTTCATTTCTCCGAGTAAGTGATGAATTGAAATTTTAGTAGCATCAATCCCATGCATGACCTTGCTCTCCCTGTTCCTTAGCTTCTGGATGTTGGACATTGCATGCGTATAATTTTTCTTCAGAAAATCTGGAAATTTTACGAAACACCTAATATTAAACTTGAAAAAAACATCCATATCGTTTAGTCAATTATACCATTGTCACAAAAGCCAAAACATATTAACATCTTCTGAACACCAACTAATCCTTTGCCCTTTGGAACCCACAAATAGGACGAGGTTGTAAGAATAATTTTATTTGAGCATTAGTTTCTTTCTGAGGAGTACGATTGCTTTTACGTTCATCTCTTTTTGTCCTAGGGGCTTCCATTGAATGTACTGCAAGACACGGATTGTAATTTATGTAAGATTTTCAAGAATATATCTGCAATCTCCTAGTTCATTATGCTTTGCACCATTATATAGTTTAGAATGCATTTTTCTCTTAACTTGCCTCGAATTAGTAAGATCCTCAAAATGTTACCCAAATTGTTAAAAAGGCAAGTTGGAGAGAATTTAGGAAAATCTCATACCTTCAGAATCGAGAGAAGTTGCAATGATGTTGGGAGCAGAACCAAAAGCCATAGCCAAACTAGCAGAGAAAGAGAAGTCTCCTTCACCAACAAGCAGTATCCTGTGGTTACTATTATAATGCTTTATCCATTTACCGTCTGCCACCAAACACTTTATCACCTTTTCTTCCTCAACTTTCTCTTCAGAGTCATCCGGGCCTAGCTGATTTTGCTCATATTCAATAAAAACAGCAGAATCCACCACGTCAAATGCGTTTGTGTGCGCAAGAGAGCATTGCAAGGTAGGCACATCAATTATCACATCCAGCTGTTTAATATAGTTTGAATCTTCGTCCTCAACAGACTCTGGCCGGATTAGAGAAGAAACCGGCGGTTTTTGCAGCCATGCAGCATTAGCATACACTTCATTTTCTGAAATTGAGTTGTCCCTCTGCAACACCAAATCTGAAGGAGGAGAATATGTATCAACGTTAACATGTGATTCAATTTCTATATCTGAGTAATTCCTCTGCCACTCCAAATCTGAAGGAGTAGAATATGTATCAACGTTAACACGTGATTCAATTTCTCTGTCTGAGTAATTCCTTTGCCACTCCGAATCTGAAGGGGGGACATATGTGGCACTTGGGCTCGAGTCCGAAGATAAATCTGAACTATGTCTGAGTAAAACTGCATGATTTTCAACAGGAAGTATAGGGTCTGGTTTTCTTCGTTTTGCAAATAGAATAATACAGAGGATCTTCCTCCATAGATTCTTGAAAATCTTGCATACTGATGCACGGAAAGAACATGAATATGGTTCTCCCGACCTTTCTACATCTTCTTCTTTACTGCCCAAAGATCTGATGATACTATACACAATTCCCATTTTGTTGATCTTCAAATATTTTCATGTAAGCTGCAGTCAAAGATCTAAATTTCGATAAAAAAAAAAAATTAATTTTTAGAAATCATATTTCTCTTCTCGAAAGTAACTATGCAAGTTCCCAAGAATCTTTACTTATTTTTGTTTCCAAGAATTGTGAATGGCGAAGTCGAAATTGGGAATCTCAGTCCATAAGCATTCATCAATTTTTCATTGGACCAAACAATAAAAAAAAAAGGTGAAATTTTCTTGTTTATGCAAAAGTATAATTACATATATCTTTATAAGTAAATTCTTTAAGCTCTGCGAAGTACGTACTTGAAAAATCATAATCTTGAGCTATAACTCCAAAGTAAAGTATCAAATTTATTAAACCCAAACATAATTTCTCAAAATGCACTTTTACATGAAATAATCAGACAGTACTCACTAATGTAGCTCACTACAGACTGGTGAAGCAATCTCCATCAAGATAATTTCAGGTTTTCTACAAAGAAGAAGATGTGGTAGAACTTAATTACCTTATTAATTAGATCACAGCAAAATGATAGTCACCACACGATGATCGTGTTACATCAAATCGATCATCATCGCTTGAAATCAGTCACTTGATTTCGCTGATAGAATGGAAACCATAGACTGCGATTACTGTTAGATGATGCGGAAGAAGACCAAGACTCGGCCGGTGGAGATAAAAACCATGATATTTATATAAATAGAAGTTAATTAGATATTTAGACTTGCGCCGCTTCCACTACACATTTTATCAATTTTTATCGAAATATGTTAAAATTTTGATTTTAATCACAACAAACTAATTCTTAGTCATGAAGATACATCGAAAAACATTTTGGCAAAAGAGAAAGGCAATTTGCTGTTGCTACTTTTGTGATTTGGCACTGTAATTAGTATTAACATTGTCATTCCGAACCGTCTTAGAGCACACGAGGATGCGGGCTGCTGATTGGTTCCGTGACTTGGTGCTTGTTTGGCAAAAATTATAATTGGATTAAAATGAAGGGAAAGTTGAAACTTGAAACTAATATTTGATTTTGACTAATCTCAAACATGCACTAAGGACTACGGCCTGGGATCACATGATTGAAATTCACCAAAGTTTATTAAAATTCTTATTTAGATCATTTTAAGTACAAAGTTCTACTCCAAGTGTTATTATTAATGAAAGTCTTTAAATTATAAGTGCTATGATATTTCAATAATAATATAGCAAAAAATTTTCCATATTAATGATTTTATTTAAAACAATAATCTAAACTAGCACTTCTAAGTTTAAGGTTTTGGATATGTTACAATTGCAAAATTAAATTGACATATTTTGGAAAGATGACTAGAGATGGCAATGGGGTGGATTCGGGGTGGGGCACGCCCGCCCTGCCCCGCCTCGCCTCGCCTCGCCTCGCCACTCCCCCACCTGGCCTTCCCTGCCTTAGACGGGGCGGGACGAGGCTGGACGGGGCGGGTGCAAGGGGCAAGCCTACCTAGTTTATTATTATTTTTTTTTAATTTTCAGTTAAAATATAAATTCAAATTTTTAAAATCCAAATTAAATAATGCGTAAACGAACTATATCAATATTCAAAG